AAGCTTCTCGATTTAATATGCACTCTGTTCGTTGCTACAAGGACTTGTCAATGGCGTCTCTGGCAGGGTTGGCCTTAATACACTGCTAATAAAGGCATGCGCGATCTACCACTATGGAAGTTGTGTAGAAACACAACATCGCCTGACATGATGAAGCTTTAAATTTGACATATCTCGTCTTTACATACCTCGGCAGATGTGCGCAACAAAAGCAGAGCATGGATTCTTTTTTTTTTGAAATACAATGAAAACTAAAGCAACATCAAAAAATGCCCTATACTGGGCACAATCTTGGGAGACTAACTCCCCTCAAGTCATTACCAAGCAATTTCAAACAAGTCGTTGGCGGGACATCCAGCACAATCAGTTGTCCATCCTGATGAGGTGCATGAGTAGCAAGCCAATCAGCAACAAAATTGCCTTCTCTATAAGTATGACTAAGCTGAATAATCCAGTCTCTTTGAAGCATGCTACGAGCTCGGATGATTAAAGCAGAAAGAGGATGACTTACGTCACACCCTTTTTCTTATAAATTCCAAAGCCACCTTGGATTCTAACGATAAGTCTTATTTTCTAAGCATCTTAAAATTTATTGCTTCTTTTATTGATGATCTCCTTGTGTCCTCACGGCCAAAGGAAGTAATGAAAAACCAATCATGAAAATGGAACACAAGTAGAGTTTCTTATATTGAAAAGAAAATGCAATTCATTAAATTGGTATGAGAAAAGTTAGCTGAATTTATTAACTTTTGTCTTTTACCATTATACATTTAAAACGAGAAGAGAGCCTGCAATGTAGCAGTCACATGCACAAGATATTTTGAAACAAAATATCATAGGATGCCCATTCTTCTTCTCAAAATTACATATTACTTTTGACCACGGTGCACTAACTTTGAGCAACCTTAGTACTTGTTTTATACATTTTGCCTTTACAGAAAGAAAAAGGAGATTGACATAAAGGTGCAAATGGGCAATTCTGAAACCAGTTTCATTAACCATCACCATGGAGAATTCTGGTTCCTATGGGTTTACAAGTCTCATGAACCAAAATACTTATTTCGTAAACTGGAGACAATGCAACATGCCAGGTCAAGCTTACTAAGGGTTGAAATCCTTGCTACCAATGGCTAGAATATACTGTCACCAAAAGGAGTTGTGAAGCCGAGTAGCATTTCAAACACTCAGTTGCTTAGAATTTGAGAGAAAAAATTGGCATCAGTATTCATATTGCAGGGGCTAAAGTTATGTTGGTAAACAAAAATAAAATAAAATGAAAAGCACATAGACGAACTTAAGCCTCAAAAGCGAGACAAGATCTCTGGGTCGAAGCTTGTATCCATCATGGAAAGCTTCAATAACCCGCTTCAATAAACCCGCCACCCGACAAGAGCTCGGTTACATGATCTCAGAGCTCGGCGGCGACGACAACTGATACATTATTTATGAAAAACTAAAGCAAGTTCTTCGTGAGTAGAACGAGCATGCTCAATTTGGGAGGACTCCGTCGTTTTGCGGGTGGAACTCATGAAGCTTAAGTATTATTTGAATGTCAATTATGGAATTTACTTTGACGTTCCATCTCGGCATCAGTCGAAAGGTTTGCAACTTTCGTGTAATTATGATTAATTGCTGATTATACTAATTAATTGATGATTGCAATAATTGATTCCAATAATATCTCATATATTATTATCAAGTTATCAATTGATTTATTTTTCATTGGCTGGTGAAAAATTTGAGCTAATCATTAATGCATTTATATTTGGGAGAAATACCCAAAAATATGATGTGAGTCTTATGCATCTTGCACCAAGCTTCTGCACTGAGTCTTGAAAGGCCAAAAAATTATATACATTGAAAAGAAGCTCATGGAACACTGGCTTTGGAAAGACAAGTCAGATAAGGAGATAATTTCTCATGCTTTAATTTTAGATTTTGTTTATTTTCAATTGTCGAGGTATTATACCTGCACAATCTACTCAAGTAGATAATATTGTTGTTGGTAACCACTGACAATTTTCCCAAACAAAATATGGGTAATTGATATGTAGAATACAGAAGAGTTGGATAGAGAACCGGCTCCAATAAGCATCTCGGCCAATATCCAACAATAAGCATCTCACCCAAGTCATTACCAAAGCTGAGATCAGACTTCAATAAATATGGCAGTTCGGCATCAAGACCAGAGCCGGGATCAGATTTCAATAGGCAAGAATAACATGCTGGAACCATGTCAATGAGCTTAAATTAAAAAGACCCGTGTTGGTTTATCTTACTCCCACTGCAGGAATCGTCCTCTATTGCAAGCAGGATGGTTATAAAATAACAGGGAAACATTCTGTTCCTTATTTTTATATCCTGAAAATTATTATCATGATTTCATATGACTTCTTGCTGGACCAAATTCTTATACGATGCTTATATACAAAATGTATAAATTTTTGAAAGTTGGTCAACATTGTTATGCATTATATGTCGGCAAAGTAGGTCGGTAGATAATTTCAATATTATCATGAAAAAAAAAGAGCATCAGGTTTCACCATGAGGCTACGTTCCCTATGTTCACAGAAGATCAAGGAAACGGGGGAGCATGGAGCTTTATGATGGGTGCTCAATCAGATTATATAACATAAAATATGGTCAAATATAATTTGCTAATTGAATTGATTGCTGATTACAGCTGAAAAATTGTTGATTGATGATTGAACCAAAATTATTGCTAATTATCTTCTTTATACTGTGATGTAAGGAATAATTAAACATGTGGTGTGGAGATCCCTTCTAAAAAGGAAGGAGATCCAGATCCATTCAAATAAGGAAGAAAATCCACCTAGATGAATACAAGACTTGGGCAAAAGAAGCCAAGCTAAAAGAAGAGTCGATGCAAGAGAAGCCGGGCTTGAGAAAAAAGGCAAATACTGCCGGCCTAAACTTAAAATCAAAATGTTGACATTTCACTTTTGTGGTTGTGAAGAGAGAGTCAAAATGAAGACCGGCCCACCGAAATATAAATGGTTTATTTACAAAGAATGAAGACGGGTTTGGAGAAATGTGGTCCTAGAAAGAGAATCACCCCAATCCGCGAAAAAATGAAGACGGGTTTGGAGAGATGGGATCCTAGAGAAAGGGTCACACCCCAATCCGGGATAAAGACCCAAAATAAAGCAAATTCGGGGAGTCCGAACCCGTCTTGCCAAAACAGAAGGACTAAGTGTTTTGGCCACAGAAAATAAATCTGGGGTATTTGAACCTAACCCGCCAAGACGGCAGGGTCGAGAGTTCTAGCCTCACAAGAGAATCTGGGGTATTTGAACTCGTCCAGCCCAAAGGGCAGTATAGAGTGTTCTAGCCCCGTAAGGCAATCCGGCGGAATTGAACCCGTTCTACCCAAAGGGTAGGATTGAGTGTTCTAGCCCCGTAAGGCAATCCGGCGGAATTGAACCTGTCCTACCCAAAGGGTAGGATTGAGTGTTCTAGCCGCGGAAACAGACACGAGGTATTTGAACCCGTCCAGCCCAAAGGGCAGGATAGAGTGTTCTAGCCCCGTAAGGAAATCTGTTGGATTTGAACCCGTCATACCCAAAGGGTAGGATTGAGTGTTCTAGCCATGAAAACAAACACGAGGTATTTGAACCTGTCTCGCCCACAGGGCGAGATTGAGAGTTCTAGCCTCGTAACAATGCAGGGGCATTTGAACCCGTCTTGCCCACAGGACGAGATTGAGAGTTCTAGCCCGGCCAACAACGTCGAGGTATTTGAACCTTCTTGCCTACGGGTAAGGTTACGAGTTCTAGCCCGACCAACAATGTCGAGGTACTTGAACCCTCTTGCCTACGGGTAAGGTTGCGAGTTCTAGCCGAGGTAAATAATCTTGGAAGATAGGGGAACGCCCTATCATTCTCAAGTTCCTTATGGAAAAAATCAAAATTATTGCTATGAAAGCAACACATCCAACTTTTGACAAGAAATCAAACTTGCGAAATAAAATGAAGAGATCACTGCTATTACATCCCGACAGCCTGGACAACCAAACTACCGGGCTGGGGGGAAACTGTTATGGACCTGACAAAGGCCCGTATTCTAGAAGAACCAATAAAGGACAACACAAAAGGAAAGGAATCTCCTATTGATGACAATCCTATCCAGACAACTAAGCAGTTGGACTTGGGCCCCCAATATTCCTAAGAGGCCCAGAATTACACTCCTTTAGGTAACCCATCTATAAATAAAGGGTTAAACCAATAAGGTACACACACTCTCAAAACCCTCTCTCTTAGCTTGTCACTGTGCACATACCCCACGCCTTGACTATGTCGATTATTATTGTGCACAGTGATCGGCCTACCCTCAAGGGTATCTCATTCATAGATACTTGAGAGAGGGCACCTAGATCTTACATAAAATATACCAGCCACCGGTTGGACATCTCTGTCTTTCAGACAGAACAAGTTTATTTAAAGGTGAGAGAATTAGAGTATGATTCAAACTCCCACTGGATAAGGTTTATTATCCATGATTAATATTTCAAATCAAGATTAATTTGGATATTCCTCTCCTAAAATCTATGGAATTCATCATGTGGGTATAGAAAAATGGATAATATTAATGTGATTATAATAAAGATATATGTATTTTATTGGTAAACAAGTAAATATAATTATTGGAAGACTGTTACGGGCTCCAATGTTACACAAGGGATTGGGTTAAGAGATAGGAAGGGATTACTACAACCCAAGAGACTTGTTGATTATATAGTGGGCTATGGTTGCTTAAGGCCCGTTTGATATGGCTAAGGCCCAATTAATACCATCAGTACTGCTAAGGCCATTTACTATTGCTCAATGATTGTGACCTATATATGTCACGCATAATGAATGAAGAGGCATGTTTGAAGTAAATTTCTCTCTCTCTCTCTCTCTCTCTAACCTCCTTTTCTCTCGTCTCCCCTCACCACTCTATTCTCTCTGGTTACATTGGTGCTTTCATCGACCTTACTCATGGCAGAAAATACACGCCTCTGTGACGTCACACAGCAGATCCAAGATCTGCAACAATCCCGCCAAGCGGTGCAGGAACAACTCTCCAATTTGGAGCTCGCTCAGGATCGTCGTTTCACGACAATGGAGCTGTCACATAATCAACGTATGGATACACTACAAAAACATATGCAGGACGTCCTCACCATTCTCCATTCCTCACCATCTTTCACAGATCCACACACTGGAGTTCTCGGCTCTGGTCCGTCCCACTCCGGCTCCAACAACACACATGAGCCTAACCGTCAACGCCAAATGAAACTGGATTTTCCCCGATTTGCTGGAGGTGAACCTACTGATTGGATATTTGCGGTAGAACGCTATTTTCGTTTCTACAATGTACCTCCCCATGAGCGCCTTCTGGTGGTTTCGTTCAACCTAGATCCACCTGCGTCTTCTTGGTTTCAATCCTTAGATCAAGATGGTTTACTTCCTGATTGGAACACCTTCGTCACTGCCTTACATAGGCGTTTTGGCCCGACGCAGTTTGAAGACCCTTCCGTGGCAATTGCCAAGCTCCAATAAACTGACAGCGTTACTGAGTATTACGCAACGTTTGAGAAGCTGTCCAGGAAAATTACTGGGTTGTCAGTCACGGTCAAGAAGGGACTTTTCTTAGCCGGATTAAAATCCACAATCCGTTGCTCCGTACTGGTTCACAGACCCCAAGATGTTCACGATGCTCTTGCTTATGCTAAAGTTTATGAGGAGAAGCTAGGTACTGAGAGTATTCCACCCAAACATGGTCCACTAAAAACCTGGACCCCACGCACCACTTCATTTACCAATCAATCGTCCAACCAGCCTTCTCCACCGACTCATACTTTTCCCTCATTACCACCTATTAAACAACCTACACCTATATCCTCATTACCTATCTGCCACTTGTCCCTGGCCGAACGTCAAGCCAGGAGGGAGAAAAACCTTTGCTATAATTGCGACGAACAATTCACCGCTGGCCATCGGTGTAAAGGGAGGGCCACCCTTCTATACCTCGACGGATCAGAGGACGCCACAGACAGTGTTCCACCTGATGAAGATCCTCCCCCAGAGCCGGAGTTAATCCCAGAGATAAGCCTTAACGCTTTATTTGGTCATAGAACTTCCAATTCGTTCCGACTGACAGGGTCCATCTCTAGTACAACTGTTCAAATCTTAATTGATGGAGGTAGTACCCATAATTTCATAACTCCTAGAATGGCCTCTTATCTAAATCTGGTTATGCATGCCATTTCCCCTTTTAATGTGCATGTTGGTAATGGTGATATCCTTACTTGTTCCGCATCTTGTTCTGACATTGTTTTAAATATGCAATCCAATTCTTTTGTGGTTGACCTATTTGTTCTGGACTTTAAGGGCGCGGATATCGTTTTGGGTGTACAGTGGTTAGCTACACTTGGCCCCATTATTACGGACTATGTTGAGTTAACTATGGCCTTCACACATTCTGGCAATCACATATTGTTAAAAGGAAACCAACTCATTGGACCCACCCTTGTGACATCGGCACAGTTACACAAGATGATCTCCCATGACTCCATTTCTTCTTGTCTCAAGTGCCTATCCTCCACACTGACTACTCCTTCCACAACCCAAACTCACCCCACCATATTAACTACCCCACCTCCCTTATCCACAATACTACAAGAGTTTTCTGATGTTTTCGCTGTACCCACTACACTCCCACCAGACCGCAACCTTAACCACCATATTTCCCTTGCCCCCGACGCTAAACCAGTCCAAGTCCGACCATACCGCTACCCACACTACCAGAAAAATGAAATTGAAAAACTGATTTCTGAGATGTTAGCAGCAGGGTTAATTCGCAACAGCCAATCAGAATATAGCTCACCAGTTCTCCTAGTTAAAAAAATAAGACGGTACATGGAGGTTTTGTGTGGATTACAGGGCCTTAAATGCTATCACTATTAAGGACAAGTTCCCTATACCTACCATCGATGAATTAATAGACGAGCTACATGGCGCCACAATTTTCTCCAGACTTGATCTCAGGTCTAGCTTCCACCAGATACGCATGCATTCCCCTGATATTCATAAGACTGCTTTTCGCACTCATCACGGCCACTATGAATTCTTGGTGATGCCATTCGGCTTGAGCAATGCACCATCCACCTTCCAAGCCACTATGAATCAGGTTTTTGCGGAATATTTGCATAAATTCGTAGTGGTGTTTTTTGATGACATCCTAGTCTATAGCCCGTCTGTTTCTCTCCATTGGGGTCTCCTCACAACAGTTTTGGCAACTCTGCGGGCTCATTCTTTATATGCTAAACTCTCTAAATGTCTGTTTGCTCAGCCCTCTATCTCTTTTCTGGGCCACATTATTTCGGGTTCAGGTGTCCAACCAGACCCAGGGAAACTACAAGCAATTTCAGATTGGCCCATTCCCTCCTCAGCTACACAACTAAGGGCTTTTTTGGGATTATCAGGCTACTATAGAAAATTTATTAAACACTACGCTTCAGTAGCGGCCCCCCTGACGGATCTCTTATCCAAATCAGGTTTTCATTGGAATCCCAAGGCTGCTCGTGCTTTCAGCGACCTCAAGTTACTATTAACTTCAGCACCCATTTTGGGCCTCCCAAATTTCCCTCAGCCATTTGTGGTGGAAACTGATGCTTCGGGTGTGGGTATCGGGGCAGTCCTGCTCCAAAATGATAAGCCCATTGCTTTTTACAGCTGCAAACTAGCCCCACTGATGCAGGGCAAGTCAACTTATGTTCGCGAAATGTTTGCCATTACAGCGGCCGTTTCCAAGTGGCGTCAATACTTGTTAGGTTCTCCCTTTGTGATCCGCACTGATCATAAGAGCCTCAACAATTTAATGCAACAAGTTATACAGACCCCGGAGCAACAAGAGTTCCTCTCTAAGTTGTTGGGGTGTAATTATACTATTGTCTATAAATCCGGCAAAGCTAACATCGTGGCCGACGGATTGTCTAGACAAATGGATGGGGCCCTGGACAATCAGAGCTCTCACCTAGCGGCCATTACTGGCCCAATATTAAACTTCACTACAGTGCTACAGTCCGAGTTAGTTACAAACCCCTACACTACCAGGATTATACAAGAAATACAGAGAGATCCGAGCCTTTGGCCCGATTGGAAATACAAGAATCAATTGTTATTTTCCAAAAATCGAATCTTCTTGCCATCTGCTTCGTCCTTAATTCCTCATCTTCTCCACGCAGTCTATGATGCCAAACAAGGGGGCCACTCCGGTGTCACCGCCACTGTCCACCGCCTGAACCGCAACTTTACCTAGAAGGGAATGTATAAGACTGTTAAAGATTACATATCCAAGTGTGAAATCTGCGAAAAACTTAAGCCACCTACCCATGCCCCATTGGGACTCCTCCAACCCTTACCCACCCCTGACTCTTTATGGACTTCTATCAGCATGGATTTTATAACTCACTTACTAGTGTCAGCCGGATTTAGTTCCATTTTGGTGGTTGTCGACAGATTTTCAAAAGCCGCCCACTTCAGTCCCCTTCCGGCTCATTACTCGGCGCCCAAGGTAGCTTCGGTCTTCTGGGACAGTGTTGGCAAGTTGCATGGCCTGCCCCAATTGATTGTCTCTGACCGAGACCCCATCTTCCTGAGTGATTTCTGGAAATCCCTCTTCCAGCTGCAAGGAACAACACTACAGTTTAGCTCCTCGTACCACCCACAGACAGACGGCCAAACTGAACGGGTAAACAGATGCTTGGAATCTTACCTCAGGGCCTTCGCCCATACACATCCTCATACGTGGTCGAGCTTCCTCAGCTGGGCCGAATACCACTATAACACCAGCTTCCATCACTCCACTGGCTTCTCTCCTTACGAGGTCATGTACGACAAGCCGCCACCGGATTTACTAGCATACTGTCTAGGGTCATCTCCGAATGAGGCCGTTGACTCCACCCTCGCCTCTCGTCATACCATGTTACAAACATTAAAAGAAAATCTCAGGAAATCTCAACAAATAATGAAGACACAGGCTGACAAGAAACGTAAAGATTGGAACTTTACCATCAGTGATCTGGTCCTGCTCCGCCTGCAACCGTATCGTCAGGTTTCTGTTCACCGCCGCTCTTCTCAAAAGTGCAAGTCTTCGTTATTACGGTCCCTTCGAAGTCTTGGCCAGGGTTGGCACGGTGGCCTACCGTCTCAAGCTTCCCCCTTCCGCGCGAATCCATGACATCTTCCATGTGTCCCTGCTCCGTCCCTTCAAACCGGGTCACCAGTACCAGATCCACCCACTTCCGGACACACCGGCTGCCTCTCCCCTCGCTCTGACACCATGTGGAGTGATAGACACCAGATCCATTTGGCGACGGGGAACCTTGGTTCCACAAGTCCTTGTGCAGTGGCTCGGACTGCCACCAGCTGACTCAACGTGGGAGGATCAAGCCGACTTGCTTCAAGGTAACCCAAGATGGGCACACGATGTCTCCACACTCGGCCAGCACAACCGTGTTTCTTTGGATAGGCAAGCGACTAAAATGGATGTCCAGGACCAAAGGTGCTCTGTAACCAGAGATATACAGTTTGGAGTGCACGCTAACTTGCCTACGTCTATACCAAGGGATGGCCATTGTGTGTCCCAAAGGTCACCTAACCCACTTAATGACTGCCAGCCCACTCCCATTCCCCAAGCTCATCCAACGGCTGTCGCTCATCCGATCATTTCGATGCAATCACAATCCTTGGATTCCACCGCCCATCACTTAATACGCCCACCTACCATTCCAGATCCTGACACAAGAGTGGTCCACATCAACCACAGCCGCACCAGCCTCGAGGACGCGTCTGTTCTTGCAGATGGGGGACCTGTTACGGGCTCCAATGTTACACAAGGGATTGGGTTAAGAGATAGGAAGGGATTACTACAGCCCAAGAGGCTTGTTGATTATATAGTGGGCTAGGGTTGCTTAAAGCCCGTTTGATATGGCTAAGGCCCAATTAATACCATCAGTACTGCTAAGGCCATTTACTATTGTTCAATGATTGTGACCTATATATGTCACGCATAATGAATGAAGAGGCATGTTTGAAGTAAATTTCTCTCTCTCTCTAACCTCCTTTTCTCTCGTCTCCCCTCACCACTCTATTCTCTCTGGTTACAAAGACGACAACTGTTTAGATTATGTCTACTTACATAGGAAAAGTTAAAGTATTATGCATTTTTATTTGGGGTTACATATTATGCATTTTTACTTATTCTCAAACATTAATTATATGATTTATCACTTTAAATGTAACTTCAGGATTTAGGAACAAAGAGTCTGTTGGGAATGCAGTAACAAATGAAACAATAGCTAACTAAATTTTGTTTATACAAGTGTGACTTTTTAATACTATTTTGTAATTATTAGATCATTATTCTGTTTATGAGAACAAGTTACATAATATCAACGGTCAGTTTATTTTTAACATGACAGATAATTAGAAAATAATATTATAATATCTTACATAATTTATAATGTAACAATATTTCGTATAATTTGTGTATAATTATTACATTTAAGAAACTATAGAATGTTACTCATTTAATTGTTAGCTTCAGATGAATTATTCTAAACTTACATTTTTTAAATTTTATGTTATGATTTAATCATTTTCCAAAATATCAATAGCATGTGGCTTAAGTAATAAGAAAGACTAAATTAAGTAATTAAATATTTTTTTATTTTTTTTGTAAATAAGTAATTAAATATTTAAAGTTTCTACAGTTTACACTCCAATATTTCTATTGATTAGTCTTAAACTAAAAATTACATAAAGTTACTCAAGGTGTATTAAATATTTTTTAAAACTAAAATATAATGAAGATTTAGCCAAATTTTAATTAAAAATTAAGTCCAATTTAAATAATTAAAAAATATCGTTTCTGTTTAGGATTTAAATAATATATATCATATTAATCAAATTACAAATACTTTTATAGGGATTTAGATAATAAAGGAAAAAAAGAGGGAATGTAAAAAATGTTAGGATTGAGCAATTATCACTAGGTCAAAAGCTATAACTGTTAGTCAGAGTTACTCTGACCCCACATTAGGCTTTGTCAGGGTAGCATTATTTTGTCTATTTTATATTATTGTCTATCCTTGTTTATATGTTTGAATGGATAAAAACCTTTGGGATAATTGAGTTGTACATTCTAAGATTTAAGGTGAGATCACAATCATAACGACTCAAGTACACAATCTGATTATTTGTTAAACTTATTCATAGTCCAGAGTCACCAAAAAAGGGTATTGATTGACTAAATTAGAATAGCATGACATCAGACTACTTACATATTGATATAAGGCACGAACCTCGTGGATGCACACATGGAGATGCATTGGCCGATGTTGTGGGTGGACTTATTAGTAGAACAAAATGCACTAAATTGACCCACAGAGAGATTTTACAAGAAATTCTTACAATATGTGTCATTGGATATAGTTGTCTCTCATTGTTTGATGTGGATCACCTTAGGCTTAAGGTTGTCATTGAATACTATGTTTAAATGTCATGCTTTAATTGTACTACTCTATTCACATGAAACATGGGGAGAACAATATATTTTTGGGTATGATTTGAGAAAACGAGCATAAATGATTTTGTATGAGAGTGAATTATCCAATGTGTCATTTAACATGATTATATTACATGGGAGGATCTTAATTATTCACGGGCAAATCAATATTAATGATGAGAAAGTAAAAATATCATCACAGAGAATAATAAAATCATCATCATTAATTTATCTATAAATAATTAAAACTCTCCCATATAATATGATTATGTCAAATAATATACGAGTATTTAGTTTGATTTTATAGGAACAGTCACCAAAATATCATTTTTTGACAAAATTTTTATTCAAATGTCACGCGAACAATATTTTTTATCAGATTGCCACGTGTCATAACTCGCTACGACTGGTAATGAATTACGTTCACCAATAATTTTGTGACATGTGGCACACTTTCGCAGGAAAAAGCTGACATGTCATAATTCGCTACAAGTGGTAGGCCGTAGCGAATTTGGTCTGCAATATGGCCACGTGTCATGAAATTATTGGCTACGAAATTCACTACCAGTGATAGCGAATTTTGACACGTGATAGTCTGGTAAAAAATACTGTTCACGTGACATTTGGATAAAATTTTTGTCAAAAAATAATATTTTGATCACCGATTTTATACCTCTGGCTCACTGCAAGCATTACTTTGAGCAAATGAATTACAGGTGATTTTTTTGTTAAAGAAAGCAAATGTGTTAGGTGCCTTTAGAGGAGTGTTTGGTATAGGAGAAATTTTTATTTGTCAAGAATCTCGATTTTTAAAAATATAATTTTTATATTCAGTTTACGATAATATCTGAAAATTTAAAATTTTAAAAATTTCAATTTCTCATAAATCCAGAAAAAATCCGTGTACCAAACGATCTGTAGAAGGATTTTTTTTTTTTTTTTTTTGTAAATACCTGTAGAAGGATTTTGTACATAGAGACATTCCGTCTAAAAATGTCCCTTAGCTGTAACGTGTATTTTATTTTATTTTTTCAAATTTGTGTCGTGTTGCTGAATCACCCGTATAAGTTATGATAAAATTGTCCCAATTCTTTTGATGATGCATATAAACACCTCAACAAAAATGTGAGTTCACAAAAGAAATGTGTCAGCTAAAATTACGCATATTTCAATTGTGTATTTTCCTTATAAGTGAAATTGCACATCTTTTTCTGCCGAAATTGTGCAATTTAACAATAGCATTGCACTTTTTGAATTTTTTTTAATCTAATTAGCTGTTATGATTTTTTTTTTAAATTAATCCTTTTTTTAAAGAATAAACATGATTTTATATGGGAGTGAATCATTTATGGGTGCATATTTTCTTATGTTGTAGGATAGTAGGAGAGAAAAAAAGTAGAGATAAGTTAAATGTGGGTCCCACATTTTAAATTAAAAAAGAAAAAAAAAATTAATTGGCACGGAAAACGAATTTGTGTAGGAAAAAATTCTTATCTCATGTAGATGGAGATAATGATTTCCCATCATTTATTGTGTTATTTGACATGATCATACTAAATAGAAAAATCCTAATCATTCAAAGACAAATCAATATCCATTAAAGATGAGAAAATAAAAATATTGTGATATGGAATAATAAAATCATCACAGTTAATTTATCTATAAATAATTAAAATTCTCCCATAATTATGTTACATAATACCGAGTATCTAGTTCCATTTTATGCCACTTGCTCACTAATTTAGAAACGTTGAAGATTTATTTGTTGGCAAACTTTTCTTTAACGATTCTCGAGAAACTGTTAAGAAAATAAAATAAAGAAAATTCCATTTACAAACAAGGAAACAAACAACCAGTTAAGATAAAAAAAAGTTTATATCACTTTCTTTGCCTTTTTTTCCAAATATTCTGTTGTTATATATATTGGGCACAACAAAAAAGAAATTAAAACTGCTATTCTAGTATTAAATAAGTCAATGATGAAACTTCAAAGAAGAAAACAAAAATTCATTTAATAAAGCAATAAATATTTGAATTATTTTTATAAAAAAGTATCGTTGATTATATTAATTTTTAAATGATAAAAAAATTATACATTCAATATTTTTTTAAATAGATAGGGGAAACGACAGATAAGAGAGTGGATGAATTAGAGGGTAAGGTAGGGACAGAGTGGTCATTTTCAATGACCTACCCCATCTTTATAACATGTCCGTTTCCTAGCCTTCATACGGTTTCACCCTCTCTTACAGTTTTCTCTCTCTCTTTTCACCTCTAAAATTTATAGTGAGAGAAACTCAGTGTTCTTCTTACTACCTTCACTCTTTCTCTCTCTCTCTCTCTGTCTCTGTGTGTGTGTGTGTTTTCATTCTTCGATACGCTGCGCTGCGCTGCGCTCTGCTTCGTTCTTCCCTACACCTAGAATCGGAGCCGATTTTATTTTCCATCTTCTTTTTCAGGTACTAGTCGATCACTCTTGTTTTTAGGGTTTTGCTGCCCCCAATGATTTTTCGGTGTGTTCTATATGTTCTCCTTTGTGAGCCGCGTTAAATTTTTGTTTTATTTTGTGGTTGATTTACAATTTTTATTTTCTGCTAGGGTTTACGTGTGTAGATCTAGTGTCTGTGTACTGTGGTAGGTGTCGCTGTGGTTGATTCTTGCTCTGATCTGTTCATGATTTTGACTATTTTTTTGTTTTGTTTTTGTCGTTTTTCTGGTCTTGGTTTTGAGGTTTTGTTGGTGGTTGTAAGGGTTAACACGCTTTTTGGGTTTCAGATCGTAGTTGCTTTTTTTCTTACACCGATGTTCTTTGGGGGGTTTGGTGTTGTTGGTTCTGGTGGTTTTCTAATGTTTTTGTTGTTGGTTTTTGTTTTTGTTGCAATGTGTGTGGAGATTTTTGATTTTATGTCCTTTTGAAAATACCCTTTAATTTATTTTTCGTTGTGCTTTTGATTTTTTTTCGTGGTTTCTGTGCGTGGAATAAAAAGGGTAGAGTCATGGGGAAAAGCCCATAGATATCTGCTTTTCTTGTTTACTTTTTATCGTTTGTGCGATATTTTATATTTTTAAATTCCCGTGATTTTTTCTCTTGCTGCTTTGTGAGTTTTGTTGCTGGAAATTTACTGTAAGCAGTTCCTCTGGAACTGCCCACTGTTTCAGTGGGTCAGTTCTTGTATATGTTGATGACTTTGTTTTTTTTTTTTTTTTTTTTTGTTTCATTAGTGTATGCTGAATGTTTTTGGTGTGCATCCTTTGGTTGATTTTTTGATTGAAAAAATGATGTTGGCTTGTGTTTGTGTGGGTTGCTCGTATGTAGCTTATCTTCAGAGTGATTGTATCCATTGGCTTTGGCATAGGTTTCCTTTTGCTTCTTATATGTTCTCATTGGCAATGTTGAAAATAGTGTTTCCTTCTGTTCAGGAATTATTAGTCACTAATATGGTAATGTTTTCTGTTGTATTGTGTGTTTCTAGTGTTCATCATGGTCAGAAAGAAGAGAACTGAAGGACCTAGCGGGGGTGAAAGCTCTGAGGGTCAACGTCCTCCTGAAAGGACTGCACCACCACCACAACAGGCGGCTGCAGCAGGAGGGGCAGCACCCCAAGGAGGTAGAGGTTGGGGTCCCCAAGGAGGACGTGGGGGACGTGGTGGTCGTGGGATGCCACAACAGCAGTATGGTGCCCCCCCTGACTATCAAGGTAGGGGGAGGGGAGGGCCTTCTCCTCAGCAAGGAGGTCGAGGAGGATATGGGGGTGGCCGTGGCAGCGGCGGTGCTGTGGGCAGTGGCCGAGGCATAGGTCCTTCATATGGTGGCCCATCTCGACCACCAGTCCCCGAGCTGCACCAAGCAACCTCAGTTCCACATCATGCTGGGGTGACTCCTCAGCCTACATCACCTGAGGCCAGTTCTTCTTCCCAGCCGCCGGAAACGTCCCAGTTGGAAACACAAATGGGGCAGATGACAATTCATTCTGAAGCTGCAGCTGCTGCTGCTCCTCCCTCAAGTAAATCAATGAGGTTTCCCCTTCGCCCTGGAAAGGGTAGTTATGGCACCAAATGTATTGTTAAGGCCAATCATTTCTTTGCTGAGTTACCCAATAAAGATTTGCATCAGTATGATGTAAGTGTTTCATTTTAACGTTTGGTGATAATGTTTTGCCCTTAAATTTACCAAATTACTTATATTGCTCCTCTTTATTGCAGGTAACAATTACTCCAGAAGTTACTTCAAGAGGTGTAAACCGTGCTGTTATGGAGCAGTTAGTGAGGCTGTATCGAGAGTCACATCTTGGAAGGAGACTTCCAGTTTATGATGGGCGCAAGAGCCTCTATACAGCTGGTGCCCTTCCTTTTATGTTGAAGGATTTTAGAATCACCCTCATTGATGACGATGATGGAACGGGAGGGCAGAGGTTTGCTTTATATTTATTAGCAATTATTTCTTCATGTTAATTTTCATAGTTGTTTATTTATGAATCTTTTGTTTATATTTCAATACAGGAGGGAGAGAGAATTCACAGTTGTCATAAAATTTGCTGCACGGGCGGACCTTCACCATTTAGGACTCTTTTTGGAGGGGAGGCAAACTGATGCACCTCAAGAAGCTCTTCAAGTTCTTGACATTGTTCTTCGCGAACTCCCCACCACAAGGTTACTGATATAGCCTGTTTTCCCCCTTCATTTTGGCTCATCATGTGTTATATTATTTAGCTAACTCGTCTTTTGATATTGCAGGTATTGTCCGGTAGGAAGGTCATTTTATTCTCCTGACCTAGGAAGGAGGCAGCCATTGGGAGAGGGGTTGGAAAGCTGGCGTGGCTTTTATCAGAGTATTCGTCCCACTCAGATGGGACTATCTCTGAATATTGGTACGTAACATCATAGTATTAATTTGTATCTCTCTTTCTTTTTAACCTTGATTCTCTATTTTATTTTTGTAAAATTATTCTTTTGACAAATCAATTTGCAATGTAAATATGCTTATATATGGATGTGCAGATATGTCATCAACTGCTTTTATCGAGCCATTGCCAGTAATCGACTTTGTAACACAACTGTTGAACAGGGATGTGTCGAGTCGACCACTTTCGGATGCTGATCGTGTTAAGGTCAGATTTTGTTGATGCCTCTTTTTGATATTTTCGTCTCTATGCCATAACATGTCAATTTTATTTCTAATATTGTAATGGTACATCATTGTATGCATGGGTTTGTGTTTTTTGTTTTGTTGTCTCTATATTCCAAATTTACTTGCATCTGGCAGCATCAATGAATTGTGATTTTATTTAGTTGAATTTTTGAAGATGTTTTTCTTTAGAGCATTGGTTTTAAAGAAATGAGAATGGGGATCCTCCAATATCTCTCACATTGTCTTTTCTCCTCTTTATTTCTGAATAACAGATCAAGAAAGCTCTTAGAGGGATTAAGGTTGAAGTAACACATCGCGGAAACATGCGGAGAAAATATCGTATCTCTGGCCTGACTTCGCAGGCTACAAGAGAGCTGACGTGAGTTGTTATATCTTAATTTTTATTTTAAAATGTAATAAGGAAATTTTTCTGCTAATTTTCTTTTGGGTTTTCAATAACGTTAGGTTCCCTGTGGACGAGAGGGGAACAATGAAATCGGTTGTTGAATACTTCTCCGAGACATATGGTTTTGTAATCCAACATACGCAGTGGCCATGCTTACAAGTTGGAAATACTCAGCGACCTAATTATCTTCCAATGGAGGTAAACATTCAAATAAAGTTATCATCTTTTGTCTATTATATGGATGGGTGTTCTTATGCTAATAGGTTGTCTGCAATGTAGGTTTGCAAGATAGTGGAAGGCCAGAGGTACTCAAAGAGGCTGAATGAGAGGCAGATTACTGCTTTGCTAAAAGTCACATGCCAGCGTCCTGTTGAGAGGGAGCGTGATATTATGCAGGTTAGTAGAACGTTGTCATAGCATTCTATGCAGTTTCATTACTTGTTTATCTCTTCTTGTTTTGGATTGAAAGGGTTATGGTGCCATATGTATGTTTTGAGTTCATTTTTTCCCCTCCCCTTAATGCATCTTGCGTTTGCCTGGTTCAGACTGTACATCATAATGCCTACCATGAAGATCCTTATGCCAGAGAATTTGGAATCAAAATCAGTGAGAGGCTTGCTCAAGTCGAAGCTCGCATCCTACCTGCTCCTTGGGTATCTTTTCCTCAAGATTTGTCTTTATATAAATTAGTTTTATTGACTTTTAAACTTTTAAATTGTCTTTTTTATTGTGGCAATTGTCTTTATGTCTCCTTCAGCTCAAATATCATGATACGGGTAGAGAAAAGGATTGCCTGCCTCAAGTTGGCCAATGGAATATGATGAACAAGGTAATTTTTTTTTCTTTATTAGGTGTATGGTAGTGTCTTTATGAAGACAATAATTTTTTTTCCCTTTTAATTTGTTAGTATATTCATTTGCATATTGTAATTGTAGACTGTCCTTTTGCATTATCTTTTCTGCTGGGATTTATATTTCTTTTTCTTGTCTGGGTTGGAGTGAATAGTTCAGGTATTTGTTTTTTCCCCAATTGTGTGTATATGATAAAATGTGTTGGATGTCTGCCATGATATTTTATCCTGTAAAGATGCTTGATATATAAGTGGGATTACTGACTCTATTTTTTCCTATACTCTTATATAATAATTTAAATAGTTGCACACACACTGAGTGAAGATGTTTAATCCCTTGAAAGATTTTAGAAGGTGTAGATATTGAGGAAAATTTCAATCAGATTAGTGCCTGTAATGCTGATTTGTAATGTCTTTGTGAAAGGCATACTGTTGTTTTGCTTGCCCTGATTGAATCTGAATTAACCTTTTTCTGTCTATGTTCCTTTCAGAAAATGGTTAACGGTGGAACAGTCAATCACTGGTTCTGCATAAACTTTTCAAGGAATGTTCAAGATAGCATTGCACGGGGTTTTTGCTATGAACTTGCACAGATGTGTTATATATCTGGCATGGTATTGATATATTCTCTTAACTCATATTTGTTCTTTCTTGCATACAGTTTACTTGATTTTTTATCTTTCTTTTGCTTGAAATCAGGCATTTAATCCAGAGCCAGTAGTTCCCCCACTCAGTGCTCGTCCTGACCAAGTAGAAAAAGTTTTGAAAACTCGGTATCATGATGCCAAGAGCAAACTGCAGGGAAAGGAGCTTGATTTGCTCATTGTTATTTTGCCTGATAATAATGGGTCTCTCTATGGTAGTGATGCATTGACTAATTTCTTCAAATTTTTTCCCCTTTCATACTGAACAGACCTGTGAACATATTATGACATCTTGATTTGTTATGCAGGAGACCTTAAACGTATATGTGAGACAGATCTTGGGCTTGTTTCCCAGTGTTGTTTAACTAAGCACGTCTTTAAAATGAGCAAGCAGTACCTTGCAAATGTTGCATTGAAAATTAATGTGAAGGTTGGAGGAAGGAACACCGTGCTTGTTGATGCGCTCTCACGACGCATCCCGCTTGTGAGTGACAGGCCCACAATTATTTTTGGTGCTGATGTGACTCATCCACATCCTGGAGAGGATTCAAGTCCATCAATTGCGGCTGTAAGTTTCTGAATTTTTATTTGGGTCCATGCAGTGCCTTAGCTTTAAGGCATTCTTGTATTTAGCTCTATTTTAATCATGCATGTTGAAACTGCAGGTTGTGGCTTCGCAAGATTGGCCTGAAATTACAAAGTATGCCGGTTTGGTTTGTGCCCAAGCACATCGACAGGAGCTAATTCAAGATCTTTTCAAACAATGGCAAGATCCAGTCAGAGGAACATTATCTGGCGGAATGATCAAGTACTCTCTGTCTTTCCCTCTTATCATATGTGAGCTCATTTAATGCACATGGGGAGGGGGGCACTTGCATTTTTTGTTTGAAAGTTTCATTAATTTCAGTTTTCTGGTTAATTTTTGTTTTATTTAAATTTTTGGCAGAGAACTTCTTATATCTTTTCGGAGGGCTACAGGGCAGAAGCCACAGCGTATCATATTTTACAGGTAACCTTATGCTTTTATAGTCTTTGTGATCATCATATTGATTTATTTTGTTATATATGATGATGATTCTAAAATATTTTCTGCAGGGATGGTGTGAGCGAGGGGCAGTTTTATCAAGTTTTATTGTTTGAGCTTGATGCTATCCGAAAGGTGAAAATGTTTTGCTTGCTCGAGAATATATAATGATTAATCCATTGCTAATGCTAACCTTGTCATCTTAACTGTTGCTCACTACTAGGCTTGTGCATCGCTTGAACCCAACTATCAGCCTCCTGTGACATTTGTGGTGGTTCAAAAGCGACATCACACCAGGCTCTTTGCCAGCAACCATCATGACAGGAGTTCTGTTGACAGAAGTGGCAATATATTGCCTGGTATTTACTCTAATTTGATATATTGTATGCATACCTTTATTATCATGCCTCACAATTCTGATCCAAAAGAACATTACCTGGAGTCTCGTTGCAGGCACTGTTGTAGACTCTAAGATCTGCCATCCAACTGAATTTGACTTTTATCTTTGTAGTCATGCTGGAATACAGGTGAAATTTTTGGCTTTCTTTTGTTACGAATAATTTGAAGTTGGATTATGTTCTTATGGCAAGATGTTACAGGGTACAAGCCGTCCAGCTCATTATCATGTGCTTTGGGATGAAAACAATTTTACTGCTGATGCTTTGCAAGTGCTTACAAACAACCTGTGCTACACGTAAGAACTTCGATGTTTTGCTTTTTTGCTGTGCCTTCCTCTTGTTTCTTCAGTTTCCAACAGTTTTTCATTTTCTAAGACATATTGAATGGTGATGTTTCTTTAATATTTTGTGTAGATATGCTAGATGCACGCGTTCTGTTTCAATTGGTGAGTTTTCTCAACGCTGATGATAAGTTGTCTGGTGGATTAATGTGCATTTATGATGATGTTTATGTATTTTAACAATTGGTGTATGATACAAATGCAGTGCCCCCTGCATATTATGCTCATTTGGCTGCATTTCGTGCACGATTTTATATGGAACCTGAGACATCTGATAGTGGGTCTATGACAAGTGGTGCTGTTGCTGGTCGTGGAATGGTAGGTGGTGCAGGACGGAGTACCCGTGCACCTGGTGTTAATGCTGCTGTTAGACCCCTTCCAGCCCTCAAGGAGAATGTTAAGAGGGTTATGTTTTATTGCTAAAATGATGTTTCCTGCCCTCAAGGAGAATGTTAAGAGGGTTATGTTTTATTGCTTAAATGATGTTGTATTGCTAAAATGATGTTGTATTGCTCCTGTTGAAATTGTGCACCCGTGCACCTGGCTCTCTTTTTTTGTTTTTGTTTTTCTGAAACATTTGTCATTAGTAATTATTGCACTGCACTAGTTGGATGTTTAATCGAGAAATTGAATTTGAGATCTGATTATTATTTTCTATTGATCCATTACTTCATTCTAAATGAAAAATATGATTATTGTTTTTCGGTGAATTCGAGTCTTTAATTTTGACGCAAGTACAACTGATCTAGCTGGGTTCCATGTGAAGATTGGAATCTTTTGTAAATGGAAAGTCTTTGAATTTTAATGGATTAAAATAATGAAGGAAGTATTAAGCCCTGTATGATATTACTCTCTGGTTCAGTCTGCATTTCTGCTTATCAAGCTAATGAGTGTCAATAGTCTTTGAATCTTAATGAGTTACAATTGTGAAGTTTTTAAAAATTAATTTGAGGTGAATACGTTATTGCTTATTCTTGCCGGAGTTTTATTTAGTAAATGTGTGTATAATAAATTTTTATTTTTTTTGGGTATTAAGTGTTCGATAAATTTATTTCGTTTGATTGAATATGTTTTTAATTTGCTATTAAGATTCTTATGGTGAATTTGTTATTAGAATATGGTTGTGTGAGTTACACGTCAAAGACTTAATTTATATTAGCTAAATATTTTTTTTATGGGTTTTATAAAAGTTAGGAAAATTGAATTTGTCATGTTGTAGAGATTTGTTTTTTGTGTCTTATTTTTTTTTTGTTTTAAAAAATGTGTGCTCACAAAATGTTGTATGATTATCATGTGACTTTTATAAGTTACATAAACACCAATGGTATTTTATATCTTAATGGGCTCTTCTTTCCTTTATCAATAGAAACTATTCTTGTTAGAGTATTTCTTGTCGGAGTGCTTTTCTGCTTTTTAAGTTGGTACTTACGATGATAAATCATAGCATGATGCCCAAAGCCCTTTCTTTCACGTTGATTGGAGGCTTATAGCTGGTTCTACAATCTCCTTAAACTTCTCATAAGAAGTAATTGATGATTTATGGAAGAGTTGCAGGAGGTAGTTTTTTTTTTAACCTGTCTAGGAATGTTGAGGCAGGTTTGAAAAACATTCGTGCCAACAATGATAAGTAGGAGATTTTTAATCGCAAAGACAAATCTATGACATGATTTTGAACTCCATTTGGTGGTGGAGGGTCGTCATGGTATTGCCTGCTACTTTGGGGCTTAGACCGTTAACGCTTTGGAGATGTGTTTGTCTTTAAAGTATTAGTTTGCACGGTTTCAATCGCAACATGTTGGTACTCAAGATATTTGGAATTCAAGAGGGAGATATTGACAGCAATAGGTTGTCCTTTTCTGCCATGGTATGTGAGGGCAAGACATATTGCACCTATATAAAGTAGATGTATGAATGTTTTCCCCAATCTTTGGCAAATTGTTGTGGGATCTCAAGGGTTATATAATGTTTTGTAGGAGAATATGGTCATGATGTGAAAAGGAAAAGGCTTGAACAAAATTCTTTGATGGTTTGGTTTTTCAGGGAGATGAGGGTTCTGATGGATTGGGTGCGAGTTGTTTTTTGAAAGCATAGAAAGAGTTTTTTTGGACTGAAGCTTTTTCAGCTATATTCGTGGTTTCAGGGATGTGAGTGATTTCGTATATGTTGTCTAATTTAAAGGCTACATGTTTACTACAAGTAGGTGCGATACACATTAAGGGGGTGTTTGTTTCAGGTTTTTGAAGAGGATTACCGATAATCTTTCTTTGGTAAATGTAATTACCACGTTTGGTAGAAGGAATAAATTACGATTCCCGGATATCCAAAGATTACCGGTAATTTGATTTATAAAGAAAAGTCATTATTCAGATTATCAAAAATATTATGGTAATTCGGAATACCAATCAGAATACCAAGTAAAGGGAAAACACAACAATAAATTTTGAGACAAAAATACCCCAATACACATAAAAATCTAGACCCAATCTATCAATTACAAAAGTAAAAATAGTTTGGATTTTGTAAAATAACCTCATATTCCAAGTCATATTTCGTTTTAAACCAAATATGAAATCAGTAATTCTTATACAATATTCCCGGTAATATTCTGGCGAACCAAACACCTCTTTCGTAAAATTCCAAGTAAACTCAATTTCTACTGTATTCCCATTAATCATGATTCCCGGTCACCAAAAAATTTCTCTTGTACCAAACACACCCTAAATAGCTAAGTAGAGGAAGAAATAGATGGACAGGGCCACAAGGGGAGGTTATGATGTTAGCATTTTGATGGTGATCCGTATCTTAATGGACTCGACTTTCCTATATTACTACTAATTATATATATTCTGATATCATTTTGGGATCAGAAAAATAATATATATATATATATATATATATATATATATATATATATGTATGTATGTATGAAACAGTGTGTGTCATTTTAAATGACACTAGTTATGTCATTTCAGACACACAAAGAGGTGAGATTCACACCTTTATTTTTTTGTCTTTATTCTTTTCAGTGGGACCACACCTCTTTGTATCTATGTAATGATACTCACTTTTCCATATATATATATATATATATATATATATATATATATATGGCTTATCTTTTCTCAAGTCACTTGAGATAACTGTATCTCCGGTTATAAATCATAACCGCACAAAGATGGACTAATAGTGATAAAGGAAGAGAGAGAAAAAAGTAATCATTATCATTCAAATGTGAATAAATTAATATAAAGAAATAACTAAAAAAAACGACATAATTTTGGGGGGACCGGAGATAAATATATCAAAGCTAAAATAGGAAAAAAGTGGATATTTTCCCACCCAAGCACTCTCTCCCTTGTCTTTACCTCTGCCATACTAGAAGGAAGCCATAGTTGGAGCTTGAAAACACAACTCCCTCAATACTTGATGAAATCACGTGAAACTTGAAGCAAAAGTGCTTAACCATCCATTCTTAGCAAAACCTATAATCCAGAATTCCTTAAAACACTGTGTTGTGAAATTTTCTTTGGAGAAAGTGATACAAACCGGCAAGTGTAGCGATTGTTCAAGTAATAAAGTGATAAGTAAATTATCGTCTCCACAGGGATTGTGAGCTAATATCTTATAAACTTCTTATCAAGATTTAAAACTCAAGTGATTTGAAGAACAATGGAAATTAAAGGCAAAGATGTATTTTTGGATTTTAAAATAAGAGAATGATGCAAAATGATTTGGATAAAAAATATGAGAGATATTGCAGGTAAGTACACTCGCCCTATGATCCCCTCTTTTTACTACGGATTGATTCACAATGCTCTATTAAAATAAACAACCAAACAATTTATCATCCAAACAATTATTAGCTAAACCCCAATTCCTTGCAAATTTAGCCCTTTAATCACAATTAAAACCCCAATTCCTTGCAATGTTTCAATTGAGATCAAACATTACACAGATAAATTAAACGTTTGTAATAAAAAATGCGTCTATTCCTAGCACGCATGTTAATTATTATCCTACCCCCTTTCTGGACCAAAACCCCAACATTCCTATCTAGGGTTCTAACCCTCAGATTATCATTCAATACTAAACTGATCAGATTTAATATAAACGATAAGCAATACGCACATAGTAGGCATAAATCAATTAAATTAAAGAGCGAAAAGTAAACCAATCCATAAATAAACAAAAGGTTCGCGGTTTGTGACCCTACCCACAATGAAAAGAGATCTAGCCAACCATAGACATGACTGATCTCGAAAAATAAAACATAAACTAGAAAAGACGAAGAAGAAAAACTAGAAGAAATCTGAATGGATTGGAATTCTCAATTGTCTCCAATGTCTTGGAATGGTGGAGGACCACCCTTTAAATAGGCAACTGGTCAATCAGGTTATAATCTTTGAATTTAATTTCATTAATTTTTCATTTTGATCATAATTCCACAATTCAAGGACAGCATTTATGACGCCCACGCTATCAGCGCCAAATCCGCGATCCGGTCATAATTCCTGAATTTATTCTGATTAATTTTCTGTTTTTCATCATAATTCCACAATTTAAGGATTGCATTCATGACGCCCGCACGATCAGCGCCAAATCCTTTCCTTGTTTTTTTTTTTCAAATTTCGAATTTCTTCACCTTTTAACCTAATTTCTGTGCAAAGTCTCCTATTTATAAGCTTTTTTTTCTTCTTCAGAAAATACCCTCGTGGAATCGCGTCAACATGCTTTTCATAATTTTGTAATTTTCACTTCTTTTACCTGTATAAACACAATAAATAGGTGAGAAATATCATTGACGTAGAAAGAATCAATATAATAAGCAAATATGTATTTAATTTGCTCTTTTATGACTAAATCTTATCAATTTTAACTTAGAAAACTACACCTGCCAGAGGCACATCAAATCATTCCCAAATTTAAACGTTGCTGTCCCCAGCAATGTACAAGACTCAATCCAGAAAATATTCAATTATTCCAACATAACATCACACAGACAATCAATAGTTCTTTATGCTAAGCATGACTGAATCAATGCAAAGAACTCCTAGCAATGCCTTCTATTCTCATGAAAATGTCAGAATCTAGCTTGAACACCCCTCACCAAGATAAACATATAACACTCAGCACTCAAGTGTTTGGGGGGAGTAACAATCACTCAATCCATCACAACAATAACACTACCATAAGCTTGATCATATTCTCAAGTTCCTAAAGATGAGGAACATTAACACATACACAATTGATCAAAAGGACTTCTCATGGATATAATTTGGTCGGGCTTAAGGGTAGGAATTTATGGGAAGTAGCTAAAATTGTGAGTTGAGATTGAAATACTGATATATTCTTGAAAACAATCAAATCTCAAACAAATTTTCAGCTCCAATATTCTTTAAGATCAGGGGTCCATCCCTTTTTATTTCCCACCTTTTTTTTTTTTTTAACATTGCTATAGACCCTTCCAAACTTTTTTTTTTTAAAGAAATATTTTATATTTCTTCTTTTCTTTTTGACATATTACTTAGCTTCAGTGAAGCTTACCCCCATCGATTTTCTTTTCTTGTCAAGTATTTCAATCTCAACAAAGGTAAGACAATAGGAATATGGCTAAGCAATCAGCAGGAATTATGAACAAAAAGGCTCAGGCTCAAAGGGGTTAACAATGGAGAAATCAAACAGGTGGGCTATCTGGCCATGGCTAATAGTA